TAATAATAATAATAATATATATATATATATATATATACGTATAAATTATATATATATAAGATATATATATATATATATATATAGTATATCCTATTCTCTATATAGTTGTGTCCTTATACATACATGCCTATATACCAGTAAACACTTTTCCTGATTTTGCTGTACACCCATACACGTACTCCTTACATATTTCTTTACACATACATACATATCTGCTCATACGAATTAAAATCCATGCCCTCACCACTTTCTCTGCAGAGAGAGCCGTTCGCACTGGTTGGCCTGGCGTAGACGCCTGTGCTGCTGTGTACGTGGATGGCAGTGATACCCTGGCCGTGTTCGTTCAAGTGCAGCAGTTGCACCCGTTCAATGCCCAGAAACCTTCCGCTGCAGGTGCAGGTCTGTAGTGTCCTGAAAGTCGCGTGCATATTCTAATACATGGATACGTATGAATATAGCACGCCAATAGGCTCGATAAGGTCGTGTGGATAGATGCACACTGACGCAACACATGCATGTGCGCCTACACAATGCACAGGCTGCTGTTTGTGTGTTAAGAGGCTCGATAAGGTTGTAAGGTTGTGTGGATAGATGCACACTCACCCAACACATGCATGTGTGCGTACACAATGCTCAGGCCGCTGTTTGTGTGTTAATAGGCTCGATAAGGTTGTAAGGTTGTGTGGATAGATGCACACTCACCCAACACATGCATGTGTGCGTTCACAATGCTCAGGCTGCTGTTTGTGTGTTAATAGGCTCGATAAGGTTGTAAGGTTGTGTGGATAGATGCACACTCACCAAACACATGCATGTGTGCGTACACAATGCTCAGGCTGCTGTTTGTGTGTTAATAGGCTCGATAAGATTGTAAGGTTGTGTAGATAGATGCACACTCACCCAACGCATGCATGTGTGCGTACACAATACTCAGGTTGCTGTTTGTGTGTCGGCCTACGCACAGCTATGTGTCCAATGAAGTACGTATATAAAACCCTCACTCGTCGGTTTGCCACATCTACCAGCATCAGCATTCCAAGGACAAAAGTATTTCTAAGCCACAGCAGCAAACAACCCGTTCTTTCCGTTTATGTTTTCACAGTCTACGGTACAGTGTTTCCTATTTTCCTATTATTCCTACTGCGCCTCCCACTTTTCTGAGTCACAGTCTCCCCTCCTCTCTACACAGCCGGTACGTCTGTGGTGTTTCGCGTACCGCAGCACTCCTGGGTCTCCGATGACTCACTTCTCAACTCATCGGCAGATCAGACTGCGGATATTCTGTCAATCGGAAACATCGCTCTGCATTTGTTGCGGAGTATGTACTTTACTTGTGTATATGTATATGTATATGGCTACGTATGTGTACAAGTGTATGAGTATGTATATGTTTATGTATGTGTGTATATGTGTAAATGTACGTATATAAGTATATGTACATGTATATATATAGGTATATGTATATATAT